CAGCCTCTTTGTTGGCAGCTTTCTGGAGGTGATGGAGGTGCTGGGACAGTCTGGGCAGCTTCAGGCGCAGCAGGTCTCTGAAGACCGCCATGTCCACTGACAGAAACAGACAGAGTAAAAGGTTAAGTTGGTTGACAGTTAAACAAAATAATCAATCAAGTCACAAGCTGTAGTTACTGTAGATGTTTGGTTATGTCATTTTAATTACCACTCCATGTCCCAAGGCCTGACACATTCCAGACCTCAGCTAGAATCCTATACTGTTGGCACTATCTATGAATCTGCTAATCACTATTTCCCAGAAGAAGTTTTTAGTTTTGTTTTGCACAGTCAACAGTCCAAACTGTCACAGAAGACTAAAAAACTCAGCATGTAATCATATTTTTGAAGCTGGAACCAGAAAATGTTTGGCCTGAAAACTTTTGCAGACTTTAAATTAAGAGCGACTGAGTCTCAGAAGGTAGAGCAGGTCGTCTCCTGACCGGAACGTTGGGGGTTCGATTCCTGGCTTCTCCAGTCCACATGTCCCTGAGCAAGACACTGAACCTCTAGTTTCTTCTTGTGATATCGCAGCTGTGTGCGCTTGAAAGTGTGAAAAAAGCACTTTGAGTGTGCTGCAAGGCACAGAAACGTGCTCTTCAAGTATAAGACAATTTACACGCCTCAGTACCCCAATACAAGAAAGTATCTGCAATGATGAGACAAATTCTGTACTTTTATGACTTTTATTTAGAAAGTATAAAGTAGGGATGGGACACTATATCAAAATTTGATATATGGTGATAAAAAAATCACAATATGTATCATTTTGTCTGCTGATACACATCGTGTGGTCTCCATCCACCAACCTAGCAGAACATAAGGCAATATATTTGGTTGTTCTTTAAATAATCAAACTGGTGCTAGAAAAGCAGGAAAAAAGAGAGGAATAAAGTACAAGTATTACGGAGCTAGTCAAGCATCGTCATTGAATTTTTAACGATTGAACTGAATCGTACACACCATATCGTGCATCAAATTTTATCGAGAAAAAGCCAGATCACCCCCTACCTAGTACAAAGTAAATAAATACAATTATGTACATTTTTTCACGATGTTGAGTGTCACTGTGTTTACCTGACAATGCTCGAAGGTTGTTTGCAAAATAACTCTCTGGCAGCACTTTGTCAATCAAGTAGATCATCACCTGAACACAACAGAGCAGAAATAGACAGTGAAGCATAAAGCAACACAGAAACTCCATCAGTCCCAACAAATGCATGCGCATGATATAAAAAGAATATATACCATAAAACTCCCCTTTATTCATTCACTATACTGTATGCTTTATGTTGAACATATTCTACACATCTTAATTACTGTTGCTTGACTATTATTTCTGCATGTGTATACCTTAAGTGCATCGCTCTCATTCCCCTCTGTAACTTCCAGAATGAGAGCTGCCAGGACGTTGAATCCTTGGCAGTAGCCCACAGTTTTATTCCAGCGGGCGTAGGCGAGCAGCACCCTCTTCAGCACCACCCTATCCTGCTCCCCCTCTTGGCCACAGTAAGAACTGCAGCCTGTCCTGTGTAGGTCCTGGGGAAGAGGATGTGCAGTATGGATTATTTCTTTGACAATTACTGGGTAAATGTATAATCATCTGGTGCATTTAGGACAGAGAGGAGATGGAAAGACAAACAGAGCAGCAAATGACTGGACCTGGCCCTGCCAATGGAAACTGTCATTACTCTGTTGAATCTCTGAGTCACTGAGACATGATAAAGGCCTCAGTGTCTCCATGGTGCAGTCATTCGGTGCTCTGACCAGCAAGCAACCTTCACCGGACTCTTCACAGGCATCACATTTCAAAGGATATATCACTAAGATGTGTTTTTTATATACCAGAAGGACAAAATCAAAGGTGGGTATTGATTTGAAAAGATTGTTTTGTGGCCATCTTTGATGGAAGTTGTCATTACTGTGCACTTCCTCAAGATCATTTGCCAGTAAAATAGAGTTTACTGTATGTCTACTGTCATGATCGCAAATCCTGTATTTTAGTACCATCTAACACTAAATAAGTCATTGGTTTTTAGACTGTCTATGTCTTCTGGTTCAAAATAGCCTTAACTCAAGGCACATTTCATGGCTTTTCTGGAGCTTTCATATCAACCTTAAAATACTCATTAATTTCCTTAGTTGTTCAGTCATATTTACTGGTGAAGACTGTGGGAAGTGGTTGAAAATTCAGATAAAAGCTGGATCAAAATTAAGAATTTATCTGTTTAATTCACCAAGGAGGCTTCAATTATGTCATCCAACAGCACTTTCTCTGAAAAAGCAATTCATCTCTGGTGAAAGATGTTACAAAAGAAACTGCATTCATAATGCACCTCAAAGAATACATGTCTGTGAAAACATTAAACTGGTTTGAATGCTAAACTCTGATCAGATTCAAGACCGGTGTGCCTGAATATTTTATCATTAACCAGCTGCTGATGTCCTAATTACCGTTTCAGATGTTTATACATGCATGAGATACTGGCTATCAGCAGTGGCAAGCAGGAGCATTCTAAACAGCTAATAATGTAATGTAACGTAATAATCTATTTTGGTGACCATGAGCAGCCGCTACGCTACAACTTCATTCATACATATTCTGTCTCTGTCTACGTATTTTAATCTACATGCTGTGAGTCAGGACAAATTCTCCCTCTCCCCTGTGCATACACATGTCGAATCCCCACCCCCAACACAATACTACAGTCTGGTTACCTTCACGATCTGGATGCCGAGGGAATCGTCGTCTGGGTTGCTCCGCTCGTTAAACGCAAAACGAAGTGTTTTCTCCCAGTCGATAGAGATACTATGGAGGTACTGGTCTGCTATTGTTAGCCAAACCTGAACAAAGACAACAGCAGCAGATGTACAACGAACTACAGGATGCTACAAATCACCTATGAGTTTCCTTTGCTGTCCACACTGAGTCGTGTGATCAAATATTTAAACTGTACTGTTTTTGCTTCCAAAACATTCTCAGGTTTCTCTTTTCTCCTGCTCTTCTGCGAGAGGTAGTTTGTTCACAATGACTCATTTTGTTTTGGCTCATGAAGTACAACAACAACAGCTTAAACAAAGCCATACTGTATGTTGTACACAGGTAAAGCTGCATACCCTCTTCCTCCATTCCTTTGGTATCCCGGTAGGAAGTCTTGCCACTGCTTTAAGAGCATCGTACCACTTTAGAGAAGAAAACACAAAGCATTTTATTTATACAAGCAGAAAAGCAAGACTCTTTCAGCTCTGGAACATGTTGAATCTTAAACTACACTGATGGGTATAGCTCACCTGCTGGAAGCCATTCTTTCCCAGTGATGGTTCAATGGTAAACTTCAGCCTTGTGTCAACTCCTACAAACAGAGAGACTCGGGTTGAGCAATCCTGAATTACATCTAGGTGACCATAACTTTAGACAACCCCCCAAAGTTTTCAAATGTTTCTGCTGCTACCGTTGTGAATTCATATCTGAGAGTTGCCTGCCAGTTTACAGAGAAATACATCAAAACATGAGGAGCTTCATTATGAAGCAAGACCGTGATCCAAAACAACTCAGCAAAGGACTTCAAAGATAAACAGGTTTTAGACTGGCCAAACCAATCACCAGACCTCAACCCAACTGAACATGCATTTCACCTGCTGAAGGGGAGAGTGAATGACAGACCCCCCCACCCCAAACGAAAATAAATAAACAAACAAACAACAACTACTGACAGAAGCTGCAGAAAAACTATATCAAAAGAAGTATTTGCTGATGTCAGTGAGTCGCTGGACTGATGCAATCAAATACTGTTTTACTTTTTTTTTTAAACCCAAATGTCTTCAAGTGTGTAGCAAACAAATGAATTGTCCTTTTGAAGGGGATTGCAGCTTAATTAGGTCATAAGGTAACAGTGAAAATATGACATTTTAAGTGTGAACATAGAGCATATTGTCACTCGGTGTTAGAAAAGCAACTAGCCACAGAAGCTACATAAAGGGAACATTAATGAGGCAGGAGAATGGTTAAAAATCTGTACATTATAATTTCACCTTGCAGCTTTGGTTGATCAATTATGGATGCAAACAGAAGACAACCTACATAACTAGATACTTCTTTTTATACTGATGCTAAACATAATACAGTAACAACTGTGTGTAAACTGACTTTAGGTGATTATCTACTGTATTATCTAAACCTGAAAAAAAAAAAAAAAATCAGAACACCAGAGCTTTTGACCTGCATATTGCACATAGGCTCCTAAGAGAAATGTATGTTTAAAATGATATCGCGAGACTTAAAGCCTCAGTTTGGTGATTTGGACGCGCTGATACATCGAAGAGTCGCTGTCCATTTTCTCCTGGTGCTGAATCCGCGTTTTAATCTCCGCTGCAATCTATTTACACGTACACACAAAGTTGATTAGAGAATATTTAGAGGGGTAAGCTAAGCCCCGTTAAGGCCAAACGGAAATTAAAACTTGGTCTGAAGTTAAGGGGAGAGGTCCTGCTTCGGCTCTGGGCCAATCTGCTCCGACTGCGGCCATTTCTCTTCCTGCCTTCATCCAGCCAAGCCTCTGGACGAGTGGCAGCTCTCACACGACAGAAACACGCAGAGTACCGTTTTCTCCCCAGTAAAGGTCCCTAACAAAGACAAATAGGTGTTTAACCTGGGTGGTCCGCCTCTGTCTGCTCGCCCTGCGCCATTCTGGACGAACGCCGCGTTATTCTGCCCCTTGCGCTCGGAGCTGTGGAAGAGGATTAACGCGGAAAGTCCTCCTACTGCCCTGTCACAAATTAGTCCAACACCACCGGCACAAAACATGTTCTTAGCCAAGCAGCGGGGTCCGGGGCCTACAGTGGATAGTTTAATTCCTCTACAGTTCAATTTAACTGAAATCTAACCGGTTACAAGATGTATAGACAGCGGAAGGAAGAGAGAGAAAAGGAGTGAAGGAACGACTGAAAAGGATTGGGGGGGGGGCAAGCAAGAAAGGACTGATGAAGGGTGAAGAAAGTGAAGGCACATTTCAACACAAAACAATATACTCCCAGAAAGCCCCGATTTATTAAACCCTCAGTTTATCCATCCAAACGAGGTGACAGCTTTCATTAAGACGTTATTAATATTTCAGCTGTGACCTTTGGAAAGTCTACACACAGCTTACCACACACTATAAATATCGATGTGGATGAATAATTGGTGACAGTGTTTTATCAGAACGTCGCAGCAACAAAGTAAGTGTCCAAAGGTCAAGCATCAGTTAACTTGTCAGCTGTCAGGATTTTCATAGCTCCTTTCTTTTCCACTTTTATTTATCTAAAACATTTTGTAACTGCAAATATCTATGCACTCTGTGTCAGGTAAAAAAGCTTGTTATATAACTACACATATTCAAAAAAAACATAAAAGGGGTAAAAACCGTGCACATTCATTTTACATCCAGGCAGCACTGGGTGTCTGTCTGCAGCCTCCAACACCTGGGATCATTTCTTTAAACTGTCAATCATTCCAGCAAACGCACCGACTGCACTGAGGCATCTGGGTGTTTCTGCTGAAGTGCATGAGGGGTGCGCATGCGCATGCGCCAGCGTCGAAGGAGAAGTTTAGTGATGAGTGACTTCTCCTCAGTTTGGTCCGTGTGATACGTTGTTAGATGTGTGAAACCAAACCTGCAGCTCATCAACACCCTGAATGCTCCAGGTTCATCATCTGAGTCTGAACCAACTAGAGTCAGGTTGAAGGAAAACGAGCTCATCTGACACCTGAAGAGTGTCAGATAGGATACCTTCATATATAAAAACGTGTTTTAAAAAGTTTCTTTTTTATCAACTGACTACTGCAACAGCAGATTAAAAGTATAAATAATTGGTTTGGGCTGATCCAGATGTCTGTGGATACATACGTAGTGATGATAACCTCATTGTAATTCTAACAATGTAATCTTGCTTTAGGCACCTAAACCTGTAGCATAAAACAGCCTAAGAAAGTAAATAAAAGCAGGCCTGTTATATAAAGGAAACAATGAGTCCTGCAGTCACAGGATGTGCAAACGTCTCTATACAAACATGGGTTTATTTATAATGCATCATATTTCCTGTAGCAGCGCCTGGGCACTCATCCCGGTAGGTAGCCTCCTCCTTTGATTTCTGTTTTAGACCAGATGGTAAACTGAGGCTGTGCCTTTGCTTATAGAGCCATTCGCGCAGTGCGTGCGTGCGTGAGTGTGCTGGCGGGTCACCTGGCTCTAAGGTGCAGAGCAGCCGGGGCGCGCTCCTGGAGATCCCGTTGCGCTTCTTCAGGACGTTGCTGATGATGTTACCGACCCCTCCCGATGCCTGCTGCCTCTGCTTCGCGCCCGTCCGCGGCCTCCTGCCGGCGGCGAGGGACCGATTCTGCCTCATCGGGAATCAAACCGTTCAGTCACCTCATCGTTTTGTCCCGCTTTCGAAATCCTTGTCTACGTCTCCCTTGGAGTTGGCAAATCCGGCCAGAGATGCAGCTGTCCCTCCAACACGTTAAACGGCCAATCTATTAAACTGACTGAGGCTGTTTCCAGTCTCTTCCGGTAACGGGAACGACAGAGCTTCTGCTCATCGTTCAGCGGTACACTGACGTGCAGGAAGCCGTGTTCAAATGTCTCCGATAGCTGCATAAAATAGGATTTCAAGTTCAAAAATAGCCGATCAGCTGAAGAGGAAATAACGGTTTGTGCTGTTTTTTTGTCTGCAGTGCTGCTGATGCTGCGCACCTCCACATCCTCCTCGGTTTGGCGTCACCAGGAGGAGGTACAAGGATGGAGGGACACGTGGGGAGGAGACTGAAAGGATGAGGTCATGATGGAGTGGAGGAGAGGAGAGAGAGAGAGAGAACAGGGCTGGACTTTGTAGTTATGGCCTAACAGCTGTAATCACCACCTGTTCATACATAAGTGGAGCAAGCAAATGTTTGTCATCTTTGGCTGGATGTTTATTCAGTCATCACAATTCTCTTCAATTTATCAATAGTTTGTCCAATTGCTTCAGCTAAAATATGGCCAAACAGGTCTAAATCAATGGTCACTTGTTAGTTTTCCTGATTATTTACAGGAGGAAAGTAGAACCTGTATATTAGTAACGTCAGGCCGTAATTGTGTGGAGAACCTTTTCAGTAAGACAACATGTTGATCTTCTCTTCCACGCTGTATTAGTGACTTGCAGTGCAGTCACACAAACACGGTCACTCACTCAAACCAGAAATCTTTGCTTCGCTCTCAGACCCAGGCTACAATATTCACCAGACACAGGTCTACAATCGACTGCAGACCTAAAAATGAACCAACACTGATTCTGCACAAACAACTTGGCAAAACATTTGCAATGTAAATCGATGGTGCACGACATTATGATTCAGTCATTCAGAGGCAGTAAGTGTTTCCTGAGTACAAAAGACACCAGTGAATCAATAAACACAAACAGCCTTTATCTTAACAATAAAAGAAGGCCTTGATGATAATGTTCCATAGTAGTATTATGATACATGACCTTGTCTCTATTTGTATTTGATGACGGCTCTAAAACTGTCATTTGTTCCACCATTTATTTTAACAGACAAGGTCTAAATTATGGCCCTTTTAATAAAAAAAAATGTAATTGCTAAATTTAACATTCAACTTATGTTTTGAGTAAATACTCCAGTACTTCTATATAAGCATGACTGCACATGGGTTAATTGTGTTCACTGCACAGAACAATAATACTGTAATGTTAAAATTCTGCTCATTTCTTTCAGCTAATCAGGGACAGTTACATAATAATAAACAGATTTTTTTTTTTTGATGTGAAAATGTTGATGTCACTCAGCCGTAGCCAATAACACAAATACTGGCTCATCATAATCACTGATGAGTTTGTACATCACCAGCCACATGGACACAGATATACAGTGGGTACGGAAAGTATTCAGACCCCCTTAAATGTTTCACTCTTTGTTATATTGCAGCCATATGCTAAAATCATTTAAGTTTATTTTTTTCCTCATTAATGTACACACAGCACCCCATATTGACAGAAAAACAGAATTTTTGACATTTTTGCAGATTTATTAAAAAAGAAAAACTGAAATATCACATGGTCATAAGTATTCAGATCCTTTGCTGTGACACTCATATATTTAACTTAGGTGCTGTCCATTTCGTCTGATCGTCTCTGAGATGGTTCTACACCTTCATTTGAGTCCAGCTGTGTTTGATTATAGTGATTGGACGTGATTAGGAAAGCCACACACCTGTCTATATAAGACCCTACAGCTCACAGTGCATGTCAGAGCAAATGAGAATCATGAGGTCAAAGGAACTGCCTGAAGAGCTCAGAGACAGAATTGTGGCAAGGCACGGATCTGGCCAAGGTTACAAAAAAAATTTCTGCTGCACTTGATGACTGTGGCTGAGCTCCAGAGATGCAGTCGGGAGATGGGAGAAAGTTGTAGAAAGTCAACCCTCACTGCAGCCCTCCACCAGTCGGGGGCTTTATGGCAGAGTGGCCCGACGGAAGCCTCTCCTCAGTGCAAGACACATGAAAGCCCGCATGGAGTTTGCTAAAAAACACCTGAAGGACTCCAAGATGGTGAGAAATAAGATTCTCTGGTCTGATGAGACCAAGATAGAACTTTTTGGTTTTAATTCTAAGCGGTATGTGTGGACATATCTAGGCACTGCTCATCACCTGTCCAATACAGTCCCAACAGTGAAGCATGGTGGTGGCAGCATCATGCTATGGGGGTGCTGCAGGGACAGGACGACTGGTTGCAATGGAGGGAAGGATGAATGCGGCCAAGTACAGGGATATCCTGGACGAAAACCTTCTCCAGAGTGCTCAGGACCTCAGACTGGGCTGAAGGTTCACCTTCCAACAAGACAATGACCCTAAGCACACAGCTAAAATAACGAAGGAGTGGCTTCACAACAACTCCGTGACTGTTCTTGAATGGCCCAGCCAGAGCCCTGACTTAAACCCCATTGAGCATCTCTGGAGAGACCTGAAAATGGCTGTCCACCAACGTTTACCATCCAACCTGACAGCACTGGAGAGGATCTGCAAGGAGGAATGGCAGAGGATCCCCAAATGCAGGTGTGAAAACTTGTTGCATCATTCCCAAAAAGACTCATGGCTGTATTAGCTCAAAAGGGTGCTTCTACTAAATACTGAGCAAAGGGTCTGAATACTTATGACCATGTGATATTTCAGTTTTTCTTTTTTAATAAATCTGCAAAAATGTCAAAAATTCTGTGTTTTTCTGTCAATATGGGGTGCTGTGTGTACATTAATGAGGAAAAAAATGAACTTAAATGATTTTAGCATATGGCCGCAATATAACAAAGAGTGAAAAATTTAAGGGGGTCTGAATACTTTCCGTACCCACTGTAACAGGGGCAGGCAGTTTAGACGGTGTAGTTTTCAGCACAGCACTGCAGTCACGCTCACAGCTGAGTAACTGTGTGAAACACTTGCTCATAAACTCACAAAAGCCTCATAACATTAGAACAGCAGTGAAAACCCCACGTATCATTTGATACTCTACCTCAGTGTGAACCTTCACGCTGCATGTGACAGAAAACAACAGTTAAGAGTCAAAGTAAAATAACAAAATTCATTCCTTTGATTTTGTTTAACTTTGCTGAATTATTTTTCTTGCTCCTTCATATCTGGAAAGACCAGAAAATGACAAAATGAAAGCACGTGCAGTGAGACGCTCCCCTGTTCTTTCATTATGAGAGCAAAAAGATGTATTTCAGGAGACGTCAGCTCATAAAATCCTAACAAAGTTTCTGCTAAAGTTAAATGATTTAAATACATTGGCATTATGAATTTAGTCCTGTTGCTCTCCTTCCAAACTCCAATTAAGCTCCTTATTAGTATAGCCAGGATATTGAATTTATAAAATGAGATTCCCTGGAAAAACTACCTTACAGTCTATGTGATCACCAACATCTCTTACATGACAAAACATTCACTTGAAATGTTTCTGAAGCAGATATGAAGTAGCAGAGCAGAGAGACTGGGATACAAAAATGAACAAACTATTTGCCCAGACTCTTGGGCTTTGGCGAGAAGTCACAGTCTATTATGTAAATCAGAGAGAGTAATTTTCATACTACATGTGATATGACTACTAGGACCAATTCCTACATTATGTACAACCTCTAAGTGCGTGTAAACTCCTGAAGGTCAACACACACAGCTTTTCCTTTTATTTGGTATCAAAGCAGAGGTCTTACTTCGTTTCTGGGAGACGGCCTGAAGGCACGCTGTGATGATGTCGTAGTTCTTCTGCAGTTTGTGGCAAAGTCGGTCTCGTCTCTTCAGCTGGCGAATCAGCTTGGCCGACTGCAGGCCCGTACGATACTTGACCTCCTGGATGATTGAACGCAGCTCTTCGGGTGCTGAGAAAGCCAACAGAAACAACAAAGTCTAATCTGGGCTT